CTTAGGGTTTCTAATATTGATCCTACTGCAGGGTTTGCTTGAGTTTACGATTCTGTGTTTTATTTAACTCGAATGAACTCACTTTGGGTGATTTTGAGCCCTGAATGAAGAAGTTCAGATATGGAAGTTACTTTACCCTATTTAGCTACTTCTCTCTAGTAATATAAGACAAGTTTTGTGGGCTTCATTTTAGGCTTTTGCCATTTTTTGGTGCATTTTTCCCGCTTGAGAGGATGAGCTTCAGTCAGCCATCGTTGACTTGGCGACTCCTCTGAATGTAGCATCTAAAAGGAACCATAAGGACATTGGAGCTTTCTCGGTTGCTTGGCCTCCTTAAACACAGCAATGTCTTCATTTTGTTCCCTTACATTCGGCAAATCAGCATTTTAGTCTCTGGACTTTGTTAACTTCTACCCAACAAAGCGAAATTGACTCTTACTTTCATTTGCCCTGCAAATGAAACAAAAGTGTGAGTGTGTGTAGGATCGGATTTCACAACGATAGGACTGTTGCATCAACTCAGTGCAAACAAAATTTTCCTACCCAATTTACTGTCATTAATTAGGCTTTTTATTCCACTTAAAAGGAGACTTTCATCTCAGCTTCTCCTTGTTCCGTCAATTAGATGGGCTTTTGAGTGCCTCACTCACCGAGTAGTTAGCCCCAAGAGTACTTCTCCTTGGTATTATCTGCTCCTCCAACACTCGCTCCATCCCTGACCACTGTTAAGCAATCACCAGAGCAGCTACAACAAAGGCGAACGAAGTGACTTTAATAATGTTTTCCTTCCTTTGGTTTCCCTTCTTTGCCTCCTCCAAGCATAGACCTGCTAGAGCATCAACTCGGTGCATCGAGAATGGCTTTTAAGGACCCTCAGCGCGTTATGGGGGAATTCTTGGCAGCTTGAGTTAAAACGACCACTTCTATTTTCTGAATATTGTAAAAAGTTTCACCTCCACATCGATGCAGGTTTGGAGTTCTATCACCTCTGATTCAAAAAAAGGATTTGCTTTGACCCTTGCAGGATACTGTTATCTCACAAATTAGCTTATGACTGTGAAGAAGCGTGTATTGTATTGTTTTGGGGAAATGATACGCTGTTTACTGCCTCAACTAAGGTGAGTAAACAGGTTTTGCAAAGCTCGTTGACCAGTGAGGAAGGTTAATAGGGAGTCAAAGCACCGGAGGATGGTTAAAACTAATTAACCGTGGCCATGCGTTGGAAATTCACTCAACTAACTAGGCAGTTAGGAGGAACAAGAGGGATCCTTGACTTCCGCGCCAGTGGACGTTGACTCTCCACTTTTAAGTGGATCGATGCTCTCCGCGGTGGTGGTGGTGGTGACAGCTATGGCGGAGCTAGAGCGAAAGCCATTGAGGCGGAGGCTGTGATGGCTATCTCGGACACGTAGTATTCGAGTACGCTGGTCTATTCACTCCACCCCCCGCAAGTGTGCTTGTTTGTACGTATGTAAGCACAGCCACTGATAAGATCATTGCTCTCCCTCCTGCTGCGTGTGCTCTCACACCTGCCTCCTCCTCCCTCTCTTACCCCCTCCCTCCCTCCCCTCCCTCCGATTTTTGTGAGGAAGTGTTGGGAAGGGGTGTCGCCTTGTCCCTCCTCCTTTCTGTTCCCCACTCTTCCTCCTCCCCATCGGGGAGAGTTTGAGACCGCAGCAGCTGTAGCTGTACCAGAGGCTGAGTTTGAGGCTGTAGAGACGGTTATCTCGTGTAGCATTTTGACGCGTGCTGGGCAGGGCATTAAGAGACAGCACTTTGCAGCAGCAGTAGTAGTAGGAGGAGGAGTAGCAATTAACTGCGCGAGTGTTGTTATGAGTGAGCGAACGGTCTCAACCACCTGCTCTTGGAAGCGTTTAAAAGTCTACCGAAATGACGGGCTTGGGGGTACTCCCCAGATCCCTCTCCCGGGAATGATCTCAAATGGAATGCGATCCTTGGACGTAGAACGTCTTAGTAACGATGGATGTCTACTCAAGTGTTCATTTTTCCAAACCAACCTCCGATTATTTTAGGCTAGGCGAAATCACATTTAAAGGCGCATCTGTTGGATTTAGCCTCCTACTGGCAGTTCCTTCACGTATTGCACTCTGGCACCAAAGCAAACATAAGGATGCAACTGCGGTGCTCAACGTTATTTGGTCAATAATAACTTTTTACAGGTTTCCGACAGTAGAGTGTATCACCACAATTTTACCGAAAGGGAATGCAGATGGCCACAGCCTTTACAGGTCTTTACGGTAGAGGTCACAGTGAGCCTCATGATAGGACCACCTGCAGCCTTTAAAGGGGGACGACCAAGAGGCGGCCCTGGTCTGGTATACCGCCATAAAAATACGCGACCATTCATCGCTCTCTGTGCGCTTTTTTGGGTGTCATATGTCCCCTTTCCACCTTCCCCCCCCTTGCCCATGACCACCTGTACGTGATTAGGTGGCAGAAGCCGGCGTCAAGCTTGATGACAGGACTCGCCCGCTGATTTGAGAGTCAGTAAATAATAATTACACTGTGGGAGACGTCTTTGCTCCACTACTGTAAAATGATAAAGCGCATTCAGCGCCGTCTAAGGGATACTGACTTGACTCTCTCTGGTATTCTTTAACTTTCTTTAACTTTCATTCAGAGTGTTATTTGAATGTTGACTGCAGCTCCCAGTTGCAAGCTGAGA